CCCCCCAAAATGAAAGCAGGAACATGAAGAGGTATTTGCACACCCACGTTCATTGCACCAAAATGCGGAAGTCACCCAAGTGTCCATCGACTGATGAATGGGTGATCAATAGCAGTGTGTATGTACAATGAATATTATTCAGCGTTGAAAGGAATGAAATTCTGACATGTGCTACAACACGGATGAACCTTGAACACATTAAGATAAGTGAAATAAACTGGAAACAAAAAGACAAATATTATATGATTCCACTTCCATGAAGCACCTGGAATGGTCAAATTCACAGAGACAGAAAGCAGAATGGGGTCACCAGGGGCCGGGGGAGGGAGGAATGGGGAGGTGCTATTTGGTGGGTACAGAGGTTCAGGCTGCACAGAAACCTGAATGTATTTAATGCCACTGAACTGTACACTGAAAATGGTTAAAACAGTAAAATGCACGTTATGTATGTCTTACCACAATTAAACAACAAAAAAGGAACTGGCACAGTACCCCAGAATGATACAGAATTAGAAAGGGTGGGGTGCCGGCCAGAGCAGAGGAAACCAAGGCAGCCAGGCAGATCCACGGCCTGAGGAAGGGCTGCAGGGGGAGCAGAGCTGGAGGGGAGCAGTCACTCCCCAAAAGAGGGTCAGGGTTAGGAAACTGTCAGAGGAGGAAGGCAGTGCTGGGACAAGGCACATAGTAAGGGAAGACCTCAGCCCATCACACAGCAAATCTAAGATTTTGGAGACGAAGTGTAGGGAGTGGGAGCCCACTGGGGTCAAGGAACCAAGAGAGAAAGATGAAGGTCAAGGTGTAGGTGGACCAAGAGCCTGTTTCAGGTCTGGATGGGGGAGAGGAGATGGGTAGGGCAAGGAATGGGGAGTGAGCAGGGGGACAGGGGTGACCTGCAAGAACATGGGTCAGGAGAGGACAGGAGAGGAGGGGCCTCCGGGTGAGGGCGGGTGGGTGGCTGTGAAAGGTGAGGACTGGGTGAGGGGCCCAGGCAGGAGGGCAAGGGCTGGGAGCAGGACCAGGTCCCCGGGTGGAGAGGTGCAGAGGGACCAGGGAGAGACAGTGCAGCACCTGTGGGCTGGAGGGTGGGGGCTCAGGAGGGTGAGGCCCAGGATGAAGGAGAGGGCAGGGGTGAGGCAAGGCAGGGCACAGAGCAGGCACCTGCACTATGGGGGGGGATGCACTGCCCTGTGCCCTGCTTTAGGCCTAAGTGTCATCCTTACCAGAGCTCCCCTTGCAAGGGCTGGAGGGGAGTGGGAGGGACGGAAGACGCCTGGACAGAAAGCACCGCCAGAAAGTCAGGGTCAGGGACAGTAGGGAGGGGTGGCATAGGGGCAGCACTGGGTGAAGGCTCCTTGCAGGAAAGGCCCACAGGGAAGGAGGAGGGAGGGGGCGAGGGCAGAGGACACTCTAGAAATGGATCAGAGAACTGTAGCCAGGAAGGGAGAGCAGGGAGGGGAAGGAACAGGACTGAGGGGGATGAGATGGGCAGGGGAGGAGGTGGGAGAGAACCTGGTGTGATTAGACCA